TTCTTGTACAATTTTATTTCTCTAGCTTTGATGCTAACATGTCCTTCAACAGGAGCAACTAGGAGTATAACTTCTAGCTAACTACACACACCAATAGAATCAATAAAGTATCCAGGGCTAAGTTTCTTGTACAATTTTATTTCTCTAGCTTTGATGCTAACATGTCCTTCAACAGGAGCAACTAGGAGTATAACTTCTAGCTAACTATACACGCCAATAGAATCAATAAAGTATCTAGGGCTAAGTTTCTTGTACAATTTTTTTTCTCTAGCTTTCTGACTAACATGTCCTTCAACAGGAGCAACTAGGAGTATAACTTCTAGCTAACTATACACGCCAATAGAATCAATAAAGTATCTAGGGCTAAGTTTCTTGTACAATTTTATTTCTCTAGCTTTCTGACTAACATGTCCATCAACAGGAGCAACTAGGAGTATAACTTCTAGATAACTATACATGCCAATAGAATCAATAAAGTATCCAGGGCTAAGTTTCTTGTACAATTTTATTTCTCTAGCTTTGATGCTAACATGTCCTTCAACAGGAGCAACTAGGAGTATAACTTCTAGCTAACTATACACGCCAATAGAATCAATAAAGTATCCAGGGCTAAGTTTCTTGTACAATTTTATTTCTCTAGCTTTGATGCTAACATGTCCTTCAACAGGAGCAACTAGGAGTATAACTTCTAGCTAACTACACACACCAATAGAATCAATAAAGTATCCAGGGCTAAGTTTCTTGTACAATTTTATTTCTCTAGCTTTGACTCTAACATGTCCTTCAACAGGAGCAACTAGGAGTATAACCTCTAGCTAACTATACACGCCAATAGAATCAATAAAGTATCTAGGGCTAAGTTTCTTGTACAATTTTTTTTCTCTAGCTTTCTGACTAACATGTCCTTCAACAGGAGCAACTAGGAGTATAACTTCTAGCTAACTATACACGCCAATAGAATCAATAAAGTATCTAGGGCTAAGTTTCTTGTACAATTTTATTTCTCTAGCTTTCTGACTAACATGTCCATCAACAGGAGCAACTAGGAGTATAACTTCTAGATAACTATACATGCCAATAGAATCAATAAAGTATCCAGGGTTAAGTTTCTTGTACAATTTTATTTCTCTAGCTTTGACTCTAACATGTCCTTCAACAGGAGCAACTAGGAGTATAACTTCTAGCTAACTACACACACCAATAGAATCAATAAAGTATCCAGGGCTAAGTTTCTTGTACAATTTTATTTCTCTAGCTTTCTGACTAACATGTCCATCAACAGGAGCAACTAGGAGTATAACTTCTAGATAACTATACACGCCAATAGAATCAATAAAGTATCCAGGGCTAAGTTTCTTGTACAATTTTATTTCTCTAGCTTTCTGACTAACATGTCCATCAACAGGAGCAACTAGGAGTATAACTTCTAGATAACTATACACGCCAATAGAATCAATAAAGTATCCAGGGCTAAGTTTCTTGTACAATTTTATTTCTCTAGCTTTCTGACTAACATGTCCATCAACAGGAGCAACTAGGAGTATAACTTCTAGATAACTATACACGCCAAAATACGACCATATTGTCGCACCAAGTTGCAGCTTTGCAGGGTCGTCGACCTTGGTTTCTTCCTTCTTGGTGTTATACACGTTTCCCGAGCGGGTTTCCATAGTCAAAGTAAATAAATAAAATTAAATAAAAATAAATTACTTTTTAAAGTTATTGTGTTTATTTATTATTGTCTTCCTCGTAGGTCGTGATCCGCAGTCTTCGTCTAGGTCCTCTCTCGCTCCAATAAGCAATAAAGATATATCTACAATAAAATATTACAAAAGAAATGAAACTATAAAAAGGAATGATGATATAATCTAAATAATCTGTTTTAAATAAAAATAAATAGATATGTAATTTAAATTTTAAATATATAAATATTATATTAAAAATAATTTTTAAAATACGCGCATTAATCATGATGCAATAATATATACCAACTAGCCAATAACACACAAACATAGAGCTTTATTAAGACCACCGGTCTTATACAGATTCTCTTTCACCGTAGGAAGGAAGCATAGATGGAGCTCCTATACTCCAGGCAGCGCAGCACCCAACAACAGCCTCCAGGTCCGACACATGTCCAGTGGCCACACCGTGCATAGGTTAGCGTATCACTGAAAAGACGAGTGTGGAATCAGCCGCGTTCTAGTCTTCACTTTCCTCATCCAAATGGACAACGAAATTCGGCGATTCTATTAATCTCCTCCGAACGATGACTGTGACCTTGTAGAATTTATATAAACCAAAGATCTTGATCAAACATCATTGTATTCATCAAGTTATATATTTGTTGACTATCGGGTTGACACAAGGATAAGTCGCCCAAGAGTCCCCCTCTCTGTTTCTCAACAGAATGAAGAAACCTACTGAACCAGCTAACGTTAAAACAAAGAAGAGAAAGAAGACATAAAAAGTTCGACTTTTGATAGTTAAATATACAGTTAAACCTGTCTATAGTGCCCCTTCTAAATAGTGCCTCCGTCTCTATAGCACCCTATTTTAAATACGTAGTACGATGCGATTTACATTAAAAAGCAACCTATCTATAGTACCCCCTCTCTATAGCACCCTATTTTGATGAGTCCCAAGAGGGGGCGCTATAGACAGGTTTAACTTGAGTAATAATAAACAATAAAAATAGTTTTACCGAGTTCAAAATCAGTTTTAACACGGGGAAGTGATATAATTAAAAGTTTGATAGAAACTGGACACCTCTTTCTCCCAAAACTTTCTTTCTGTTTTAACAACTTTTTTTATAAAGGGGTGAAATAAAATACTTTACGTAGAAAACAATAAAAATATTAAACATGTCTTAAAATTTTCGACTTGTGTTTTTCTAATTAGAAATATTTTATTAATTAATTAAAGCTCAAAATTTTATATTGTATTGTTTTGAGTAGGTTAACAAAATATTGGAAGATTTTTCAACCAATTTTTATACTTAATATTTTACTTCAGGTAAAACCTTTTAAATGGAATTGAAATACATTTTTCCTTAGGAAAATGCTGTGTGTATTTTTATATACATGTGTAATACAAACGTGAAATTGTATACTGGTATCATATTAATAAATTAATAGAAAGTTATTTCCCCTGTTTGGTCAACATAAAAGTTTATAATGCCCTTGATTATCAATTATTAATTTATATTTATTCCGATTGATGGCACAATCTATCAGAAACCTTTAGGTAAACCATCAGGAAGTGCCTTTCTCCTAACATTTGATTGTAATATGTACAGTTTTATCAATAAGAAGCAAGTTTGTTTATACCAGTATAACAAAAATCCGTGAGTTCTGACGGCTATGGGCTTATTGAAAACGTTATCCTGATACTCCTGTGGAAGGACTGACAGGTTCGAAAGCTAGATAATGAAATTTGAGCAAGAAACTTAGCCCTGGAGACTTTATTTTCTTTATATTATTGAAAACTATTCATTATCACAGGATTGAAGATTTCGACAAATTACAAAAAAGACATAAGATGCCACACAACTCTTTTTTATTTACTTGATTAAAAGGAAGCTTTCGGACAAGACTTTCGTCAGTTAACTAAATACGTTTTAGTTAGTTACAGAAGTGGTTGCCCGAAAGCTTCCTTTAATAAAGTAAATAAAAAGAGTTTTGGAGTCTTATTCTTTTTTGAAATTAATTGAAAGGTGTTTAGCCATCATCACTAATGTTTATGAAACATTTAGAGGGTGTGAAACAGACGATGTGTGTGGTTGAATATGTAATTATTTTTACATAATTTAGTTTTGTATAATTATTTACCATAATTTCCTATCATTAAATTTTCATACTTTTTGTTCTTAAAGATTTATTAAGACATTTAGTTAGAAGGTGTTCTTTCTAAAACCATTAGTTTGTGAATAAACGTTAAAAAAGCTTCTCGGATGTTTTATCCCAGTATATCAGGTCACCAGCGCAACAATAGGTAAACACGTGAGAACGCCCTTGCAAACCTCAGAACAATTTTTAACGCCTTGCCAAATGCTTTATTTACTTCTCCTGACGAAGACAAAATATTTTTTGTCGAAACGTTGAGAAAATAAAAAACTCCAACTGGCCGAAGTGTCTATTTTTTTATATAAATATGAATGCCGGCCAGGCAGTCTATCTTTACAATGTAAATATTCGTTAAGCGGATCATAGTGGATGATCAAGAGTTTAGCGCATGCAGATTTTCCCTCTTAATATTAAGATTTCTTGTCAGGCGTTTTACGTAGAGGATTGGTCCAGTTGTGTTTATCTCTGATTTTATCAATAAGTAATCAAGGGTTTCTTTTTATTATATCTTTTATTCTCAAGCTTTGACGCTAGCGTAAAGTTGTACTTCAGAATCTCCGTGTTGTAGAGCATGTTAGCCCGAAAATCTTGAGAAATAAAATACACCTATCCCCCGATTTACACGGTACTTGTTTTTACACGTTTTCGCTTTTACACGGTTTTCCAAATAAGTTTTTTTTTTGTTTTTATCGCACTATACTAAATGCTACTGTGATTGAACACATGCGCTGTGTACACATCTCACGAGGAATCCCGAGCTTATGTGCTGACTACATATTTTAACCTGTCAATGCATTTTATTTTATTTCTGTGTACACCTATCCCCCTATTTACACGTTTTTCTCAGGAACGTATCTACCGTGTAAATCGGGGGATAGGTGTATATAAGAAAAAGAAACGAAACCTTTGATTCCTTTTTGATTAAATCAAGGTATACAATCAGGGAAGAATCTATATGTTTATCTCTTATCTGGAAAGTTGAGGTTTTTTTATGCATACCTCTACGCTGTGGTGATTTTACCTGGTTTCAAGAAGCTGTCATGAATGAGATCCGTCTTATACTGGTGTAAGATTTTAGCTTCGGGAATAGACTCGGAGCTACCTCAATGGTTTAACTCAGGGGTCGGCAAACAGCGGTTCGCGAGGTACATGCGGCTCTTTGGATGTGAAGCTGCGAACCCACACTGTTCCGCGTACCAGGCAGATGCCATTTCCACTAGGCTACCCTGGACATATTTTCCCGTTAAAAAGATAACGAAAAGTGTGTTCGAACCAGGGACATCAGGTTCTAAAGTCTAAAGCTTTCGCTGCGGCTCTTTATATAGTTCCATATGCAAATATTATTTATGCGAGTACTATTTATTGTTGGCAATAAAATTCTTTTGGCTTTTAAAAAATTTGTAAATTGTAATTTTTGACTCTTCCGAATCAAAAGTTTGCAGACCCCTGATCTAACTATTGTACTGAATGTTGCCGGTTGTCTTAGAGAATCCAGGTACCGGATATACAACGTGTATATTGGTTTTGAAACAACTAAATGGATTGCAAAAAAATAATTAAATTAAATACCTAAACACTAATATAATACAATTTTTGCCATCACACACACTTTATGGTTTATGTGTTACTTCTGTATTGCTATTCTATGGAACTTCTACTCATTGACAAAACTTAAGAAAATATATTTTGATGTCGACAATCTTCTTTGTTTTCGTCTGTTATTGTCTCAATCCCGATATACAGGCTAAAAGGTACAACTTCCCTAAGTTTTGTCCATGCGTGTATTCAAAATAGCAGTTTTTTATAGCTTCCAAAAATTGTTATATTCCTCAAAAATTAAATATGCAAATACAAAAAAAAAGGTTAACAAGTGCTATTAATTTTATCTTGAAAGTTATTTTATTTATTTTTGATAGCTATCACCATCTCTCGGCGAAAAAAAGATGATGCCAATCAATACAAGGCACGTCAAATAATCTCCACCCCAGGGCGTCCTGTTATTCAACTGTTAGTCTCGACAGCAGGGGGTTTGATCGATCTATTTTGTATCGCTAGATGGGGGTCCATTTCCACACGCTCTTTTTTTCCTTGAGACAAATATTCTCCCCCTCCATCTGCTCGCTCACATTTCTCTATCTTTGCTTTCCTCCCGTTGTCCCTCTGTTTATTGTCTGAAATTGTTTCTTTCCCCTCGTATTTTGACGTCAAGACTTTGTTAGAAAAACCTGCATTTTCTCTCTCTCCTCTTTTTGTAAACATACATTCATGAATAAAACTTAAGGAAGTTGTATCTTTTAACATGTATATCGGATTTTAGACAATAACTCTGAAAGATATTTGATACATAGTAACCTTTATCAAAGACACATGAGATACCAAGTGTAAACAGAATTGTCTCTGTCTCCTTAAAAACAAAAACAGATGATCATGAATTCGAAAATCCAACAGCCAACATCGTTGCTCTGCCCGCCGGAAGGAACCCCAAAGAGAAATTGTACTTTCTTAAGTTGCCCAAAACCACTGTTTACCATGTTAAAGAGCAGTTTGATGAGACCGACAGTAAACAAAGAGGGAATGGCTGCAAGGAAAAATCACTCTCGTCGATTGGACAAGGTAAGAAGGGAAGAATTTGTCAAAAATGTCAAGGAGAAGATTGGTGAAAACCCTGGGATGAGCATGAGAGCCACAACCAAGGAAATGGACGTTGGCTCTATGACAATTGTCAGAGCTATCCATGAGGACTTTGGTCTTAAGTCCTATGCACTTCGGAAAAGCAATTGCTGTCTGAGAATATGAAGGATAATAGAAAGGAAAGGCTGATTCATTCCTCAACAACATGAACATGACTCTTGTGTCATGCCGAGGTTCTTCTCTGATGAAATGAACTTGGATGTGGACTAAAAGGTAAATCCCAGGAATGATCGCTGGATCTGTGAAGACCCCTCAGAGGTACCTGTCGTGATGCACAAAAGAAATTTCCTGCCTGCGTGATGCTCCTTGGCGTTATCAGCAGTGATTGTGATGCCATGCTTCCCAATTTCTATGAGAAGGACCTTAGGATAAACGCTGACACCTTCATCAATGTTTTGGAGATGGTTGTGAAGCCTTGGATAGACATGGTGGCTGTAGGAAGGAAGTATGTCTTCCAACAGGACTCAGCTCCAGTCCACAAGACAAAAAGGATAATCCTGGATGACACTTAACGTCCTCAGTTACTGGAGTCCTGATATTTGGCACCATAACTCTCCAGACTTCAACCTCCTCGTCTACTATGTATGGGACGTTGTTGGGAGAGATGCCAACAAAGCTCCCCAAAACACCATCCAGTCTGTCAAGAAAGCGGTTGACATGGTGATAACCTAAATAGACAGGTCATTGTCGCCAAGGTCTGTGCTTCATTCCAAAATCGCCTCGAGACTGTTGTAGCTAATAATAAAAACACTACTTCGAATAAATCAAAACTATATATTTCTATCTAATACTGTGTCAAATTTCATTTCATTTTTCAAATTTTTACTTGCAATAAATTTCAGTTAAAATTCCATTGTGGTTATTCCCAATTTAACTGATACACCTTGTATAAGCTGACACCTTGGGAGTCTCTCATCGAAAGATTGCTTGATGAAACGCTCAAGACTCAAAATATGATTCCTTTTTTTCTAAAAAGAATACTTTTTACACAGTGTTTTTCAATAGTATTCAACCCTGTTGTAATATTCCAACAACAACAAAAAGGTTTTTATTGGGCCCATTGCCCTGTATGGATTCGCCATACAACAACAAAATAATACAGTAATTTTTTTCTCCTTTTCACATGGGGACATGTGCACGTGAGCCTTTGTTTGAAAAGGGATTTATTTACACATCTGTTCTAAAACTTTTCTCACTACCCCTTTTGTTTCTTTAAATTGAAGATACTTCGGCCAGTAAATCTTTTTATTACCTCGACGTTTCGACAAAAATCTTTTGTCCTAGTCATTTCCTGACGAAGACAAAAGTTTTTGTCGAAACGTCGAGGTAATAAAAAGATTCACTGGCCGAAGTATTTTCATTTTCAAGAAATATGAATGCCGGCCAGGCAGCCTCAATATTTACGATACCTCTTTTGTGTATGAATCTATTTACAAATTATCTGTAAAAGTATAGAGTTCTATTGTTATATGTTGTAATATTCCTTTATTTCATATTACAATAGGAACCTTCTATATTATTGTACAAGTTTAACACTCCATAACGCAATACATATTTATCAATACACGATATAAAAACTTCGAGTAAAGAGAAAGGTGTTAGAGTAAAATACCAAACTCTGCTAGATTGCAAGCCCCTAACTTTCTAAAATTTCTCGGCGCCATAATTGGCTGGCTAAGTTGTAAAATTGTGTAAACAAGTTTCAACAAGTTTTTGTTCTTGCAGCCTGTTCTAAAATAATTAGTTTTCCTCAAGTTAACTACAAGTTTATGTAACGAAACATAAATCTTCTTCTTGGAGAAAACTTGTTCCCGTTGTACATGGTGTCAATTTCTTGTGACTAAGTTTTGTTGGCTTGTTTGAAATTTGAAAAATTGATTTATTTTTGGTTATGAATATTATAGATTGTAGTACCAAAAGGGCTATTTGATAATCATGGTGGGTAGAGGGTTGTGGCAGCTTGTACTGTAAGTACACCACATGTCTACACATGTAGTACCAGGCCATGATAACATGGTGGGTAGAGGGTTGTGACAGCTTGTACTGAAAGTACACCACATGCCTACACATGTAGTACCAGGCCATGATAACATGGTGGGTAGAGGGTTGTGACAGCTTGTACTGAAAGTACACCACATGTCTACACATGTAGTACCAGGCCATGATAACATGGTGGGTAGAGGGTTGTGACAGCTTGTACTGTAAGTACATCACATGTCTACACATGTAGTACCAGGCCATGATAACATGGTGGGTAGAGGGTTGTGACAGCTTGTACTGTAAGTACACCACATTATTTCAAACATTTATAGAAAATCAAGAAAGTATTATCAATGTTAAACAATAGAGAAACTTACAATAGACAAAGAATGTTAAATAAAGAAGTCAGTAAAAGGTTCACCACATAGCCACCAAAGACCAATCAATTAATACAAACAGCAAGTATTTGACATACCAATCTACCTCGGTCAACTAATTAATACACTGCCACTAATTAATTATAACTAATCATAACACATCAATGGTAAATATAATTAGCTATTCTATATATACCTACTCTCGTGCATATTGTGTACAATTGTACCCTATATCTCGAATTTACAATACCTAGCTCTACAGGCTGTTGAGGTTTGTCCGAGTTTGCCAAAACTGGTGTTATTGCGGCTGATTCTATATCACCATTTCTACGTTCAGTACTGTAGCGATGCGCAAATTGCATTGCAATTTAAGAAAAAAAAAAAAAGACGAGGGCCAATAGTCCGAAACACGTACTTGGTTAGCTTTTCTTGATTAATCAAGACGAGGGCCAATAGTCCGAAACACGTACTTGGTTAACTTTTCTTGATTAATCAAGACGAGGGCCAATAGTCCGAAACACGTACTTGATTAAATTTTCTTGATTAATCAAGACGAGGGCCAATAGTCCGAAACACGTACTTGGTTAACTTTTCTTGATTAATCAAGACGAGGGCCAATAGTCCGAAACACGTACTTGATTAAATTTTCTTGATTAATCAAGACGAGGGCCAATAGTCCGAAACACGTACTTGGTTAACTTTTCTTGATTAATCAAGACGAGGACCAATAGTCCGAAACACGTACTTGGTTAGCTTTTCTTGATTAATCAAGACGAGGGCCAATAGTCCGAAACACGTACTTGGTTAGCTTTTCTTGATTAATCAAGACGAGGGCCAATAGTCCGAAACACGTACTTGGTTAGCTTTTCTTGATTAATCAAGACGAGGGCCAATAGTCCGAAACACGTACTTGGTTAGCTTTTCTTGATTAATCAAGACGAGGACCAATAGTCCGAAACACGTACTTGGTTAGCTTTTCTTGATTAATCAAGACGAGGGCCAATAGTCCGAAACACGTACTTGGTTAACTTTTCTTGATTAATCAAGACGAGGACCAATAGTCCGAAACACGTACTTGGTTAACTTTTCTTGATTAATCAAGACGAGGGCCAATAGTCCGAAACACGTACTTGGTTAACTTTTCTTGATTAATCAAGACGAGGGCCAATAGTCCGAAACACGT